TCATATTGAATCACTTGAGATTTACGACAAGTTTTTGTTTGACAATGGACAACCCGACGACAACCTTTCGGTTGTAGCAAACTACACACACAGCCAGTGCACGCGAGATATGGCAACGAGATATGGTGCGGTAGATCGGTTGTCTATCCATTCTAACGTAATAATTTTGGGTTATGTTTTTCCAAGCAAATGCATCAATTTTGATACCATAGCAAATGTTTTAGCAATTTTCCATCTCGAGCATGCTCTTCTCTTCAACTCGTTCTCTCCATATCGAACACGATATTTTCTCCGTATATTTTCAAACAGAATTATCGCACGAAATACATCGTAAATAGAATGTTAGCGATATTATATTTTGCAAATATCGAATATGGTGCCGAACTCGGCTCCACTACTCATCCATTAATTTTACTTGATGCAGTTCAAGTGCGCTTACTTTTACTCACTTTTCGTCTTTCTCCGCTCTTTCATCCGACTTCCTTTCGACTATTTCGGTTCTTTTTCATAAACTGTTCACTACTAAAATCGTTTTGTGTCACATTTTATTCGATTTTCATGGTGTTTTTGTGCTTTCCCTCCTCATTTCATCGTATAAAAGATGTTCGGCCACCGAGAAAAGCAACACCACATCTTTTGTACGGTGTTCGCTTGCCTCGATCTTTTCGAACCGAGAACACTATGTATTTTACGGAAATTCTATCGTTGTAATATCATCAAGCGACCAACGTCACATTCAACACTGTAACAAACAACGTAGAAAAGTGCTATTCAAGCGGACAACAACAATAATGGGCCGCAACCATAAGGATTCAAGCATAGAAATGTATGTTGTTGTTTGTTCATAGTCCGCTCGGCTACAGTGTGTGTGTGTGTGACTGTGTGTATAGTGTAAAAATAGTCGGGGCTTTGTTGTTATATGTGCAATGCATTAGCGATACTCTAACGATCTATATTTTAAACTTTGTGTACTTTCCATTAAACAAATTACATTTTGATTCTCCTTCACTCATACTCGACTATTTGCACGAGCTGTTTACATCGTTATTTGAAACTATCAATTTTTTCCTTTTCTCATTTAGTCCTTTGGCAAATTCTTTTTTTTTTTTTGTACCTAACCCACCTCCTCCTTAAATCCTATTCTATTTTTATATTCCAGTTTCTCGGAGCGTACCGTTTCTTTGCCGACTTGTCGTTGGTCGTCTACAACTCAATACACTTTCTGGGCTCAGAACTTTCACCATTTTGATTTCTTAGTCATTCTCCATTTCACCATTCGATATGGTTTTTCTTTTCATATTTTTTTTTTCTTTCTTTCTTTCGCCGTACTTTTTCTCTATTCTCACTGCTTGAAGAATATTTATTTCTTGTCTGATGACAGTCGTCGCTTGCTTGAGTTCATCTCTATCTCGTTTATTATTTCCGGGTAATGGTCGCCATGTATGTATACTTGCGAATAAGAATAAAAAAATTGTAATATGTGTCCTGCGGTACCCGGTGTCCATGCATAAAACACGTACAGTCACACACATGTGCTCTGTTCCGTATTGCATGCTACAACATTGCATATGAAAATCGTTGCTCCGTTCTTAGATTACACACTTTTCACGGGTCAACTCAACAATAGTCAACTGGACGGACCAACGGACCATGTAAACGATTCACCAACACAAAACCATCTTACCGTAAGAAAATGGATTGCTTCGAGGAGGATTAATCTATTCTACCGTTCATAATGGTGTATATATGTGGAATGAAATTGATATTTAAGTAAAAATCTCAGTGTAATTTGAGATACACCAACACGAAAAAACAAATCTCACATTTATTACACAGAAATGGAGACATTGCATGAATTTATGAAAATGGTTTTATCATTTTCGATATGGCAGTGCTTGATAATAATAATCATAATAAGTGGAGCATCGAAGATAAATCGCAACAAGAACAAAGTTAAAGAAGGAAAAAATGTATCGATTTTTATAAAAGTAATCAATTTTATCCGGCTTCGATTAAAAAAGAGTCAACAAACAGTACATGCTTACAATACGGAAAATGATTTCGAATAATGAAAAGCGATAGCAGTTCCGCTTTGAGGCGTTTTCATTTGTTTTCGGTCGTGATGATTTTTCGGGATGGGAGTTGAGAAAAACATATTTTCAAGCACTTTTGTGTATATTTAAAGGTGTATGCTTGAATCAATGGGAGAGTATTCAATTGAGACAAAAGTTTATCAAAAAGTTGGTCTTCATTTGCTCTCTGCTCGGATCGTTGCACCTCTCATTCATTCGCACTTATTTATTCAGATGATGGTGAAGAAGAAGATGACGAAAAAATTGCTCGGCATTTTTATATATTTTTGTTGGTGGCGTCCGTTTTCACTCTTACTCTTTCTCTCTCTCCCCGTTTGTCTGATTATCTAGAACAGCTCAGCAAATAACAAAGGGTAACATAAAAACAAAGCCGTATTATTATTAAAGGAGTCGCTTCTTTTTTTATTTTCTCTCTTCAATCTCTTTCTCTGTGTCCCCTCTCTCTCTGGATAAACACAACACTAACAACCTCAACAAAACGAATAAGAAAAAAAAGAGTAAATTCTCTATTTGTTTGCAAACAAAGCACAACGCGAATCAAAGTTACGGTGCATGTTTTCCAAAGTTTTGTTTGAGAAAACTTTCGTCATTGCCACATAGATGAAATGTATATATGTATAGTATTCGTCGTTTGTAGTCGCAAATGAAAATTTCCGGTAGCGAATGCGAACAAGTTGAATTTAGTGTTATTTTACCATTTTGGTATGTGCGCGCTGTTATGCAATACATTGAACGGCAACGACTAGAAGCACTTGTTAGAAAGAATTAATCCAGAACAAAGATAGAAAATACATACATGGTAAGAGGTGAAGAGCGCTGTGCGCGTGCAATATAATCATTTATTCCATGGAAAATACGACGATGAGAGCTAAGAAAAATCGCAATCCAGAGGAAGAGCAAGGGGAGAGAGAGACGGTGAATAGCTCAAAATATATAAATAAACTTTTAATATGCTTTAGTCGCTTTGATGGTGTGTTCAGCGGCTATGTTGGAGAGTAAACGGATTTCATGCAATTTTGTGGGAAACAGACGACAAGCATGAAGAGAACCGAATAATATTATGAATAAATGTTTTGTTTCGCTTTTTCTTTACGTCGTATTAATTACAGTGTGTGTCTTTCTTGTATGTGTTGTCGAATGAGAAGATGAAAACAGAAAATCGGTCGTTTGTTATTGTTGTTGTCATCGAAGCCGTTCCATTTCATTGGCATTTGCGACATTTAAAGTGGCTGCCTATTTGCCTTTTGGTTTTGTCTTTTGTTCGCCTTCGTTTTCATTCATATAAACAACTTTTTGCGTCATTGTATGTGGGCCTGTGTGTAAGGCCTAAAACTTTTCCTCAATCTGGAATTAAAATTTGAACGACAAGTTTTTGTTGGTTGAGCTGAAAAACAAAAACTGAAACACATTGAGAAGAGACATACAGAGAGAGAGACGCAAATACACCGCATTATGTACTTTGAAGCACATTCAATTTTGGAAATTGCAGCGATGACACACACAAAAAGAGAAAGAGAGAAGAAAATGGCAGAATCGAAAACCACAATCTTTTGATGATTCCGGTGGTTTTTGACAAAAACCTGTGCAAAAGCAAACACCAAACAAAAACCAAAAATGAACATTTAAATTAGTTTTAGCTTCGTTCGTTCAGTATAAATTGGTCCACATTTACACACATTTTGGCGGACAGTTTTTTTCCAGTGTCGAAATAACTTCGTCACTTATTTACAGGGGCTTTAAGATGTTCCAAAATAAATGCGACAATAACGAAATCTTGTTCGTCCGAAAATCTTGTTCGTTTGCTTTCGTGCACAGATTTAATAACTTTGCCGAAAACTTTTGAATATAAACACCAACAAAAATACAGAACCGCCCTCCGTCTCTCTTTCAAGCTAAGCACTGTGATACACATATATCTACCGAAAGATTTACCAGAGAGTAAGATTGATTTTGTGTGGGTGACGCTTGCTGAAATGTGCATTTCTCGATATAATTATGCTTATGATTTGAAACGGTATTGAATTTCGGCAATTTTGTCTCTTTGAAATGGTCTTGATAAACAAATATTTGTAATTTTCCTCTGTGTCTCTCTGTCTTACTTGTTCTAAGATATTTTTATTCATATATTCCACATTCGTCAGTCCATATTGCACGGACATTCCACCTTCTTTTTTTTATTCGCCCATCCCTATAAAGTTGACTGCTTTACCGTTTTATAATTTATTTTTAATGTTGTATTATTATGCTTGAGTGATCGTTTAATTTATCTAGTCTGTTGAATCTAAAAATGTGTTTCATGAGCCAAAAGCGCTGCAATTTCAATACACACGTTATCAATGTTGGCACCGACTGTATGTCTAAAGTCACTGTTAATATTCCTTTACTTAGATATTACCAAAGTTTTCCACTTTCGATTTAAGACTCTGCGCCACGCCGTCGACGCTTCTTTTCCATCAAATGGGAAAATTTAAATTATTGACAAAGTTTTACCGTTTAAGTTTCTTTGATGTAATTTTGTTTGTACACTTTTTTTTGTTCGTCTTCTGATTCTTTTTTTTATTTTGCTCGTTTTTCTGTTTCTAGTTTTTACCTTCCGAAGACGTATGAACGGTGTTTGGATCATCAAATATTCAAAATACATGTACCTCTTTGGATTTTCAATTTTAGAACAAAAAAACACTTTTCAGCAATTTAGTTGGCCCACTTCATTGAAGTTATGAATTGAATATTTTTCATATTTACTTTTTATTGAAGTTTGAATTTATTTGTTGAAATTTTAGATTTCATATTGTTATTTTCGTCCATAAAGTAAATCGAAGCAATCTTTTTATCATAATAAATTTGGTGGTACTTCAACGAAAGCATTTTTTCTTCAAACAAAACAAAAAATATATGAATTGTACTTACCATCCTCCTTGTCGTGTTAAAGTGAAACCAAAGCGTGAGTCACGATCAACCGAAACTCGAATACCAACAATTCCCAGTCCTTGTGGAGTAATCACTTGACCTCGCATCACCGAAACACGGCTACACATCGTACAATCATCAACGAAACAAAATGTGAAAAAAAAAGAAGAAAAAAACGGGATTTGGAAAAAATCCAAAGTCAGTTAAAATCATATCAAATAAATGTAAAACAAAAAAATATTGTTTGGTGTATGAATTAAATTTTCGTACAATATTTTATATAATAAAAATATATGAAAAAACAAGCAAACTAATTCAATCAAAGTTATTTGTATATATTAAGTATGCGGTTTCCAATCTAAATTCAACTAACAAATATATTATTATGTATAATAAATGATTTTTCAGATTAATATCATACAAGAAAACGGTTTGATGAAATTACATTAGAAACAAATAGGGAAATGTTATTACAATTTGTTTTTCAAAGGAAAAAAGGAACAGAATACAAAATAATTTCTATGACAACGGCCTCAGGATGTAAAAAAAACGATTTTGAGTTTTTTTTTCGCATTTTTACCATACATAAGACTAATGAAGGTGTAAATAAATTTTAATCAATCAAATGCAGCAAAATTCGTTTTTCGATTGTACATTTATCAAAAAAATCGATATCGTATGTAGTGTGTGGGGTTGTTTCCACGCATGAAAAAGCATTTCCCGTACTCAGAATCAAGTCAACAGAATCGAATTTAATGCAAGAAAATCTATGCATTATCGAAATGAAAAAAAACAAGAAATTTGTATGTTTTCTTCTTAGCGCAAGCATTGCTAAATAATGTGGCTGTCTAAAATGCGAGAGAGATTTGATTGATGAGTGTGCCATTCGTAATCTCATTATGGGTCGTTGCATTCATAAACGAAAATTCGATGAACTCATTCAAGCGTCTAATGATGCCGTTCAGTGCATTTCTGACATTTTGTTTGTTCGCCGAGAATCTTCGCGCAAGAACTGATTTCACAAAAGTGAATTAAATTCACCGACTCACATCAAATGACAATTTTCCTTTGACATTTCGCTCAAAGGTTGCGAATTAAATCGAAGAAAATGAATAAATGGACTGTGTTTGAACAGTTTGAGACAGAAAAATCTCTCAAGCATATTGAATTCGAAGAAAAAATTGTTATTTTCACTTATCAATTCTACCTTTTTTTCGAAAGGCCATTCGAATGTATAAAATACTTTTAATGGAAATGAACTGATAAAAACGGCAATTCTTTTTATCATTCGATTTTCCTCTATCTTGTGCAAACAATTTTTTTCCCTCTCAATCAATCGTATTATCAACAACAAAACGTTGTTAATTGAATGAAATTTATTATTCGTTTGATGTTACAAATCGGATAAACAAGCGCAAAAATGCGGACATCAATAAAAATTTTACCGACTTTTCCCGGTATCAAATACGGCACTGATGTCACATTTGTAAAAATGGGATACAATTGGAGTTTTAATAAATTATATACATTTTTTTTTGCAATAAATGCTTTTTCTGTTGGCTTCATTCGACTAATTGACGTGAAATGCGAAAAAATAAAATTGTAAAGTAAAAAAAGGTGATATCTTTTGTTTGGTCTATTTGTTGTTATTATAAAAAAACGGAGCTATTCACATTGCGATTTTTGTGTTGAATTCATTATAATTGTGAGTGTGTTTGTGAGAGATGACATTACAGCATGCAATCAATCATTTTTGAATCGAATGAAAATTGTATGCGCGCATTCGATCAAATGACATTCAACCGTTGGCGACAATGGTGAAAGTAATGGCAGCTCATTGCATGCAATTCTTCAATATTGCAAAAATACCACGGATTTTTTCTCATTAGCGTTCGTCCAATGGGTATTTTAATTACTTTAATTCATCCAGAGCTTTGTCTCCAAATGCATTCATAAAATTTTCATTCGATTTACGATGATTTTTCAATGATATTGTTAATTTTATTCTGCTTTTGTTTTATTTGCATCAAAAAATGAGAGAAAATATTAAAAAAAAAAAATTGCGACTGAATAAGTAGATTTTATGTACTATTTTTATCAATGTTATCTTTTAATGCAATAAAAATAAAAAAAAATTGTATATTCCCGTTTTCACATGCTCATGTTTGCCATGAGCGTCCTTTAACAATAAAAATATTTCAGAGACGAAAAAAAAAGTCGACAAAAATTAAACAGTTTTTAATCTTTGATACATCAAAAACCAGACGTGATATATTTTAGTGTATGTGTGCTGGGGAGCGCACAATTTTGCACATTAAATGACATAATGCGATTAAAATTTATTCCGTACAGTATACATCATTATTCGTATTGAGTACGTCTCACACTTGACTAATTTATCAGTAGATATGTGTGTTTTTTTTATTTCGTACACCAATTATAAAATTGGTTCATTGCTTTTCATTGCAAAAGGATTTCGATTTATGGCTTTATCATAATTATTCTCCATTAGGTTGGACTGTGCATCGAGCAGAGTTTCGATGCTGAAAAAAACGTTGCCCTTTTTTTGCTACAGAATGGCCCCTTCTCTTCGGAATTCGTTTTTCAGCTCCCTTTTGATAGACGTTGTATTGTGTGGGGATGTTATTGTTCCGAGAAAGTTACAGAGGCAATAATCGAATTATCAAAAGTGAAAAGTCTTGCATCACAAAAGCTGATTTTCTGACTTTTTGGCTCAATAAATTCTATTGTTCGTTGTATGCAAAAATTCTTTGTTAAATTCATTCCCGCATCGTGCTCCTTTTGGCACCGTCACTCGAAAAGTTTATATTATCAAATTGTGCACTTCAAAGTTTTCCCTTTGATTTTCTGTTGCTTTTTTACTCACATATTTTGCTCTGCAATTCAACATTGCAATGTATTCGAAATTATTATTTGTCCCTTTGTGCGATGCTCGAATCAAATGAAATACAGTTTTGCTTTGAAAAATTGCATATTTGAGCGTCTGGAATCTTTCTATAGATTGCTGAAGATAATTCAATGCCCATTGAAAGAACACTTTGAATCATTTTCAACGATATGTTATAACTCGACTACACCTCGACGAATTTGACAAAGTTGTTCGTTCGCTTCATGCAATTGTCGAAGTGCAAAACCAAAAAAACAGTGTCTGTTCTTGTGAATTTCTCATCGAACGATGCGGGGTTCTATTTCCAGATGATATCATAATTGTAACAACAACGTATATATTTGCTTCTCTTTTTTGTGTATTCAAACGGCATCTTTATTGCCCCATGGCTTAATCTAACATGAACTCTTCGAATCGAAAGATTGTTTAATCTCTTTTTTTACCAACTTTTCTCTCATTTAATGCAAATAATGCCAGGTGCTTGTGAATGCGAGCAAAAGAAACATTTTAATAATGCCAGAAGTGAACGCACCGTGCGTGGCTGGAATGAGGATTGAAAAAAAAAACGAAACGCTTTGAATAAACTCGCAAATCTTTTTTTCCCAAAAAAAAACTTAAGAATGCGGAAGAGATTTAGCTAATTTTATTTTTTTTTTTCAGTTGCGCACCATGGCCTGGAAATGCCTATGTAATTTACATATAAACGAGTGAGACTCAAACATGTTCTTCTTTTTCCATCAAATTTACCAGTGGCGCCACCAATTTTACATATAAGCGCATACAAAATTTTCAATATGGCTGCGCCCATGAGAGAGAAAATTTCGTCTCATTCATTTCCGCCCCATGGTTGCGCACCGTTCACCATCCGGTCCGGGGTTGGATTTTACTTTTCATTCGTCAGACGGTTTGCCAATTTTTCCCCAATGCCACCGCTTCTCATGATGATACAGAATATCTCATTATTTGTTATGTTACAGAGTTGCGAGCACGCATTTTTGTAACATGAACAACCAGATGACTTTAATGTTTTGGAAAAATGTTTCGATGGTTTGCAAGTACTGAAGCGACTGATGAACAAAGAGGAGAAAGAGAGAAAGTCTTAAGTGACTAGATCAAAGGGCGCGTAAATATTTGTCATTGTTTCATTGCTTTCGTTTTTTCTCTTGCTCTGCACTCCCAAATACAGCATTCAAAAACAAATTCAACAGGAATGTGAACACCTCAGCGAACATTCTTTATGCGAGAGGAAAAGTTATAATTCTTTTCATTGATCGAATTTTCAACGTAATCGAAACACCTTCAATATTGATGAGAGCAAATACATTTCAATGTGACAATTTCTGCAGCGTATTTCTTTTTCATTTAGTCGAAGATTTCATCGTACAATTGAAGAAAACGAGGGAACAACTTGATACGTTTTGGTAATTGAATGACAAAGACCATTTCGGACAACTGCTGACGACTTGGAAAAGTTTTTCGAATTTATTTCCGTCTCTCACACACACATACCAAATCCGTCGATCATTTTCTACTTATTCAAAAACGAATCCACTTAACACATCATACCAATTACGATTTGAATGATAGCAGTCGGATACGTATTATATCGGACCTTTTGGCTTCTGTGAATACGAAGTCATCCAAGAATGAAACGAAAATTGAATAATAAAAAAGATATATATGTGTGTGTGTGCAGAGAGAGAGAAAGAAAATGTGGTAGCGATTTTGTATCGAAAATTGGGCTCGTCTATAAAAGCATTTTCACTTGTCATGTGAAAAGAGAGAAAGAGAATGACAGAGATTCGACGAGTAAATGTAATGCTTTGAAATATGCAAACGTATTTTTCTTTGTCAGTGGTGGAAATAAAATTTGCGTACGATAGCATTTATGGAAATGAAATGATGGTTTGAAAGAAATGCCAGAAAATTGAAAACGAATTCGAAATTTAAATCAACATTGCAGTTTCACATACGCAACCAGCAACAATGAAAGAATCAATTGGAATTCATAAGTGATATTTTCTATGGAGTTTTTTCCTCCTCCAACGTCTCTCTATCTCTCTACACCGTAGACCGGGGGGAAGGTAATCAGCATATTCAACCTTCTACAATGCGATGTATTCGTCTCAAAGTTGGTATGTCGTCAATGCCAGCGACACACAATGCGTCTCTACATTAAAATACGATTTAATTAATGGAAATAAATTCCGTA